GGGCAGCCGGACGCTGGGCGCCCCATCCCCTTCCTGAGGACGTCATCGAAGCTCCTGCCCTTCCACATGATGTTGTAACCCACCTCGATTGCTGCGCAGAGGGGCAGGCTATAAATAAAAATTTATTATTATTATTATTATTATGATGATGATGATGATGACGTCCTTCCGGCTCAGCATCTGGACACACTGAGCCAGAAGGGATGGAAAAGAGCTGCATAGCGGCTCTTCGGGCGCCTCTTTCGCGGCTTGTGGAAGGAGTGCTATTTTAGTGCTCCTTTCCAGGTGGCGAAAGGGAGGATTGGGGCCAAGGCATGGGGCAGCCTTGGCCTCAATCCGCCACTTCTCAGACGGCTGCCCGTCTGCATCCCCCCTTAGTGCTAGGCACCCAGACCTCACTATCATTTGTAGCTTTATCTTTCAAATGTAGTTGGATATGCCTCAGCGTTAAGTGTCACTCTTGGGCCCTGAGAGTTCCCGAAGGATGGAGAGGCAGACACTGATAGGACCCACCATGAAGAAGTTTAGCTGTTATGGTGAGGAAAACTTGGTACCCGGGAGGGGGGGGGAGAGATTGGGAGAGAGAAGAATTCTGGGTAATTGTATGCAAATATTGTCAGCAGAAGTGAGAGGAAGTAAAACAGGCATTCGGTCTTGTTAGCACGTTCCAATCTCTGGAAATGCTTACCTTCTGTACCCAAACTTACTATATCAAAGCTACTGACACAGCCCTCCAGATGGCCAATGCAATTTTATGTGAGACATTCCTGTGTTTTGGATTCATTACCAAACAGAATGAGCGGAGCGTGACACAATTGCAGAAGGCAACCTGCGAGCAACTGCCAATGTATTAATCTGTGGGGGCTAATATCATAATGTAATTACTACAACAGTGCTTTCTGACTTAATTGAAAACTCTCTGTGTCTGGGCCATTAATGGGAAATGCATGATTTGACAATTCAAAACAGAGGAAACTGTGGCTCATTGGGTATGTGGCACAGGGGAGGGCATTGGATTGATTCTCCCACTGTCTTTTCCTGAATGACAATGACAAAATTCCCAGCCTAGGAGATGGTGTACATCATTTTAGAGATAACAAGCGGGGTGCTTTGAGGATTGGTTGTGGGCTTAGTGTTCAACATGTTTATAAATAACTTGGATAAAGAAAGAGAAAGTATTGTCAGATTTGAACATAACATCAAAGTAGACAAAGTAGCTGATTGGCGTAGTGGTTTGAGTGTTGGTCTATAACTCTGGAGACCAGAGTTCAATTCCCCACTTGGTCACGAAACCCACTGGGTGACCTTGGGCAAGTCACATGCTCTCAGACTCAGGGGACGGCAATGGCAAATCTCCTCTGAAGAAATCTTGCCAAGAAAACTCCATGATAGGTTTCCCTTTGAGTCTCTATAAGTTGGAAACAACTTGAAAGCACATAACACCAACAAGATGATACTAAAGAAGACAGAATCACAATTTAGAATAACCTCCAATAACATCTCGAGTAGGTTGCACATGAAGTACTAATTAAATCAATTTCAACAGGGATAAATGCTGGGGAGCACACATTCAGATGCAGAAATATATGATGGGTGGCACCTGGCCTGACAGAGGTACATGTGGAAGATCAAAGAATCTTGATAGACCACAAACTGAACATACGTTCTCATTGTGATGCAGTGGCCAGTGCAATTCTAGAAATGTAGTGTCCAGATCAAAGAAAATAACGGTATCATTGTATTCTCTTTTGGTCAGACCTCTCCTGGAGTACTGTGTCTGGTTCTGGGTACTACAATTCTAGGAGAATATTGACAAGCTTGAACATGCTCAGAGGTGGTCAACCAAAATGGTAAAATGTCTGGAAGTAAGAACTATGAGGAATGATGGAAGAAAATGGGTATATTTAGCCTGGAGAACAGAAGATTGAGAAGTGATAACGAGAGTGATACTTATTGTATATACTCAGCTATAGGTTGACTTCATGTATACATTGGGTTCAGTTTTGGGAGCCAAAATTACGGATTTTGATATGACCTGTGGATACATTGAGAGTAAGAGGAGCATGTTACAAAGGATCTAGGATGAAGCAAAGGAAAACAATGTCAAAGAACTTACAAAATTCCAGTGGGCATAACTGTGCTCATACTTTTAATGCTGGATGGATGAGAGAGTAGAGGGAGATTAGTGCTTCCAGGACAGATTACATTCTTGCCTTTCAACAGGGGATGGTTCATTTTTAAAGAAGAGTTAAAGTACAGAATTTCCATTAACCTGTAGATAAGTTGAGGCAGTTTTTTTTGGGTCAATTTTTGACTAAAATTGCTAGACTTATACATTAGCATATATACTGTTAGGTTTAAAATGGGGTTAAACTAGATGGCCCCTAGGAACCGTTCCAAATCTAGGACTGACATCCTATTAATGTTTTACAAACATGTGAGTTCCCTTATGCATGTAGTTCTGTAAATATCATATAATATTTCTGGCCATGATGCAACATTCATATTCAGTCCACTAATGTATAAGCAGAGTTCTTCAAATAGTTTTACCTATAGGTTGACTTACCATTCAACGAGTGATTGAAACTGGTTTCTGAACAGAAAACAGAGGCAGTTGTGTCAAAAACCAATGTATTTTTCTCTGCAGAATAATTCCTCCAGAACATCTTAAGATGTTCTAATACAAGGAGAAAGTTGCACAAAATTTTCATTGTTTTGCTATTCTTCTTGACAATGGTTTCCTGACTGTTGGGAAGCCCATTAAAAAAAATAAACCTTGGAGTGAATAAATATGAATATGCTTTCCATCTCTACTTATCACTTCACAGTGATAAGTCATGTTTGCACGATCTGCAGTCAAAGACATCAAGCATCATGGGATGATGTGTACATGTAAATGCAGACAGATCTGGTGAAGAAAAAAATAAGATGTATGACTCCCAGATTTTTAGAACTACACCCATCCTCAAAAAAGGGGGGGGGGATCAGCGAGGAGGGAAAGTCAATATTGAGCATTCCTGATGACAGGAGAATATTCATAGAATCATGGAGTTGGAAGAGACCAAAAGGGCCATCCAGTCCAACCCCCCCACCATGCAGGAACTCAACATCAAAGCATCCCCGACAGATGGCCATCCAACCTCTGTTTGAAGACCTCCAATGAAGGAGACTCCACCACTCTCCATGTGAATGTGTTCCACTTTCAAACAGCTCTCACTGTAAGGAAATTCATCCTAATGTTGAGGTGGAATCTCTTTTCCTGTAGCTTGCATCCATTGTTTTGGGTCCTATTCTCTGGAGCAGCAGAAAACAAGCTAGCGCCCTCCTCAATATGACATTCCTTCAAATATTTAAACAGGGCTATCATATCACCTCTTAACTGTCTCTTCTCCCAGCTAAATATATTTAGTTCCCTAAGTCATTCCTCACAGGGCATGGTTTCCAGATCCTTCACCATTTTTCTCACCCTCCTTTGGACTCGCTCCAGTTTCTCAGCATCCTTTTTGAATCTTGGTGCCCAGAATTGGACATAGTATTCCAGGTGAGGCCTGATCAAAGCAGAATAGAGTGACATTATTACTTCCCTTGATCTAGACACTAATAATAATAATAATAAATAATAATATTTTTTTATTTATAACCCGCCCCTCTGCGCGGCAGTCTAGGAGAATATACCTCTATTGATGCAGCCTAGAATCGTATTGGCTTTTTTAGCTGCCACATCACACTGTTGACTCATGTTCAACTTGTGGTCTACTAGGATTCCTAGATCCCTTTCACAAGTAGTCTCATTAAGCCTGATGTCCCCCATCCTATATATATGCATTTCATTTTTACTCCCCAAGTGTAGTACCTTACATTTCTCCATGTTGAAATTCATTTTGTTAGCTTTGGACCAAGTTTCTAATCTATTAAGGTCTTGGATTTTGATCCTCTCCTCTGGGGTATTAGCTACTCCTCCTAATTTGGTGTCAGCTACAAATTTGATAAATATGCCTTCTATCCCTTCATCCAAGTGCTTGATAAAGATGTTGAGTAGCACTCAGCCCAGGACAGAACCCTGTGGCACCCCACTAATCACTTCTCTCCAGGATGAAGAGGAGCCATTGTTGAGCACCCTTTGGGTTTGGCTGGTCAACCAATTACAATGTAACAATCACATTGTCTAGCCCACATTTTACCACCTTGTCTGAAAGAATGTCATGGGGGACCTTGTCAAAGGCCTTACTGAAAACAAGATATGCTATTACCAGCTTGGTAGATGAAGGGAATGTGGTAGACATAGCATATCTTGATTTTAGTAAGGCTTTTGACAAGGTCCCCCATAATATTCTTGCAAACAAGATAATAAAATGTGGGCTAGACAATACAATGCAAAAGCAGTAAGAGGATATAATGCAAAATCAGACCAAATCATCTCAATAAGGCTCCATGGGAAACCATAATTCAAGTATATGCACCAACCACTGGGGCAGAACAAGAAGAAATTGATAGATTTTACAGAGGAGTACAGGAAGAAATTGACAACACACCAACACAGGATGTCAAGCTGATCATTGGAGATTGCAACACAAAGTTTGGAAGTAAAAAAGTATCAAAAACACTAGGCAGATTTGGACTAGGCAAAAGAATAAAGCAGATAAGCGTCTGATAGATTTTTATGAAACCAGCAGTCTATTCATTGCAAACACATTTTTCATACAACCAGAGAAAAGGCTATACACACATGGACATCACCAGATGGCCAACACAAAAACCAAATAGATTACATAATTGGAAGTAAAAGATGGCGAAGCTCCATACTGGTGGCCAAGACTAAACCAGGTGCTGATTGTGGCACAGATCACGAATTACTCCAAAAATAAAAGTAAAACTCAAGAAGAGAACAAAACCAATCATCATATCAAAATACAATTTAAACAATGTTTCCACAAAATTCATGGACAATATAAGGAACAGATTTGCAGTACTAAGAATAATAGATCATGAACTGGAAGAGCTTTGGTCTGAAGCCAGGGACATAATAAAAGAAGAATGCATAAAGACATCCCAGCAGACAAAAAGAAAGTGAAGAAACCATGAAAGACAGATAAACCAATTACTAATCCACCTAACAGTTGTATTGTCTAGCCCACATTTTACTATCTTGTTTGCACGAATATTGTGGGGGAACTTGTCAAAAGCCTTACTGAAATCAAGATATGCTATGTCTACCACAGTCCCTTCATCTAGCAAGCTGGTAATTTTATCAGAAAAAGAGATCAGATTAGTCTGTCATGACTTGTTTTTGAGAAATCCATGTTGACTTTTTGTGATTATGGCATTGCCTTCTAGATGTTCACAGACTCTCAATTTAATGAGCTGTTCTAGGATGGTTGGGAGGTATGGGATGTTGAATAGAATGAAATATATATAATATATGGCTGAATGGCTGGAACCACTCCACAGTGGAAGATTTTGTTACAGGTTTAACTTGCAATATAGAATAATCAAAACCGCAAAAATAAACATAAACAGAAATACATGAAAAGAAGCAATTAATTACAAACAGCAGCATGTGACAAATGACACCAGAGGCCTTAGTTCAGACTCTCCTTCAAAAAATCTTTTCTGTGGCTTTCTTTTTTTGTTTTTCGCAGCCTTGAGCAGAGCCGTAACTTTGCATATTCAAATCTCCTCACCACACAAGGCTACTGTTAAAAAAGAGGAAAATTTTCCATTATGGGACAAGCATACATTTATTTAGGTAAGGGTCACTCTGAGACTAAACATGTCTCCCTGTCTTTTACAGTTAAAAGCAAAATGCAGTACAAGGCAAAATTTAGGAAGCATCCCCAGCTAGGTATAGAATACAGAAAACATAACTCCTTTCATCCAAATTACTGCACTTCTTACCAAGTCTGCACAGTCAGGCTACGTGGCAGTTTTACCAGGTGTGATAGGTTTCAAGCCTTTTTGTCATCCAATTCTGATAATCTCAAAAAATGTCACACATTTTTTAAATATTTCTTTATGTGAAGAAGCTATGGTGCCAGTTGTTATTGTATGCCTTCAAATTGCTTCCACCTCATGGTGACATGGCATTTTCTTGGCAATGTCTGTTCAGAGTGGGTTTGCCTTTGCCTTTCTCTGAGGTTGATGATGTATGACTTGTGAAAGATCATCCAGAGGGTTTCCATGGCTGAGCGTGGATTCAAACCTTGATCTCCAGAGTCTTGCTCCAATGCTCAAACCATTACACCATGTTAGCACACTTATAGCAGACAGTTTTCAATTTGTTGTTTATG